GATGTACAATTATTGCTGAGAATTTTATATTATAAAATTTGTTCCAATTTTTTTAAATTAAGTTTTTAGTTTGAAAATGTTTTACAAATTTCAATGTTGAAAAAAATAAACATGAAAAATGTTGTCAGACTCTCTTACACATTAGTCATGGGTGAAATTTATTTTTGAAGGATGGTACAGAGGAGAAGAGAGAGCCATGAAGTTCGCTATCCCAATAATTTGGCAGGAACTCAGTGACCACTCAAGCAACTGCTACTTTTGCATGGTGGACCCTTCCAAACGTCGGGCTGGCAATAATGCACCTGCTATCACGTATCAGGACCTTCCTTCATCCATCACCCCGGTACCACACTGCCATGAGCTCCCCGTACCCACTCCTCCAGAGAGAGAGCAGCCGTCTTTAGAAGAGAGAAGCAAGTCAGAGAGCAAGGAAGACGTAGATCCAGATGAGAATTTCAGAGGTGGAGCTGAGGAGAGAAACCATACTACCCCAACCAAAAAGACCTCAACGACTTGATAAGAGATCTTGGTCTCACCAAGTCCAATGACGAGCTTTTGACGTCTAGGCTCAAGCAGTGGAACTTGTTGGATGAAAGTGTGCAAGTCGCAGATCAGAGGAAGCATCACCAACCTTTTTGCAGCTTCTTCACCCGTCAAGATGGGCTCTTCTTCTGCCACAATGTGACCAGTCTGTTCGTGGCAATCAGAATCGCCTGTAACCAGAATGAGTGGCGCCTCTTCATTGACAGCTCATCCAGGAGCCTCAAAGCTGTGCTGCTCCCTAATGGTAACAAGTACACGTCTCTTCCCCTGGCTCACTCGGTGCACCTCAAAGAGGATTACAACAGCATCAATACCTTGCTGGACGACTTGCAGTCTGATGAGTACGGCTGGGAGGTCATCGGAGACTTCAAAATGATGGCATTTCTGATGGGTCTCCAAGGAGGTTTTACCAAGTTTCCCTGCTATATTTGCCTTTGGGACAGCAGGGACAACCAAGGCGCACTACCACAGGCGGGACTGGCCACAGCGGATCGAGTTCTCTGTGGGGAGGAACAACGTCAAGTGGGAGCCATTGGTGGACTCCCGGAAGGTGCTGATGCCAACGCTGCACATCAAATTGGGCCTTAAGAAACAATTTGTCAGAGCTGGAGATAAAGAGTCGGCAGCCTTCAAGTACCTTCAAGACTTCTTCACTAAGCTGTCTGAGGCAAAGGTCAAAGCCGGTGTCTTCATCGGATCACAGACAAAGAATATCCTGGAGTGCAATGAATCCCCCAAGAAGCTCACTAGCAAGGAGGAAGCGGCTTGGAACAGCTTTGTCGCACTGATTTTTTTGTCTTTCTGGGCAAACACAAGGTCAAAAACTATGTGGAGCTGGTTGAGGCTGTTGAAGAACTACGGCACAATGGGCTGTAGGATGTCCCTCAAAGCCCATATCCTTTATGCCCATCTTGATAAATTCAAGGAGAACATGGGAGTGTACTCGGAGGATCAAAGCAAGCGCTTCCACAAGGATTTACTGGATTTTGAACGCCGCTACCAAGCCCAGAGCCCCCCACACCACTAACAACTCCCGCCTGGCCAACGACCTGAACGAGTTCTACTGCAGATTTGAAAGACAATTGGACTGTTCTGAACTACCCCTTCCCACCCAAGAGCCCTCCCCCTCCTCCCACTACAGAGATGACTCTCTCAGTTCAGGAGGGAGAGGTTAACAGACTTTTCAAGAGGCAGAACCCCCGCAAAGCAGCTGGGCCAGACTCTGTCTCTCCAGCGACCCTCAAGCACTGCGCTGACCAGCTGTCTCCAGTGTTCAACATCTTCAACACCTCACTGGAGACATGCCATGTACCAGCCTGTCTCAAGTCCTCCACTATCATCCCTGTGCCCAAAAAGCTAAGGCCAACAACTTAATGATTATAGACCCATCGCCCTAACCTCTGTGGTAATGAAGTCTTTTGAGCGCCTGGTGCTGGCACATCTCAAAGCTATCACAGACCCTCTCCTGGACCCCCTGCAGTTTGCCTACAGAGCCAACAGGTCTGTGGACGACGCAGTTAACATGGCCCTCCACTTCACCCTACAGCACCTGGACTCCCCAGCATCCTATGCCAGGATCCTGTTTGTGGACTTCAGCTCTGCTTTCAACACCATCATCCCTGCCCTGCTTCAGGACAATCTCTCCCAGCTGAACGTGCCCGACTCCACCTGCAGGTGGATCACAGACTTCCTGTCTGACAGGAAGCAGTGCATTAGGCTGGGAACACAAGTCTGACTCCCGGTCCATCAGCACCGGATCTCCTCAGGGCTGCGTCCTTTCCCCTCTGCTCTTCTCCCTGTACACCGACAGCTGCACCTCCAGTCATCCGTCCGTCAAACTCTTGAAGTTTGCAGACGACACTACCCTCATTGGGCTCATCTCTGGTGGGGATGAGTCTGACTATAGGTGGGAAGCTGACAACCTGGTGACCTGGTGTAGCCAGAACAACTTAGAGCTTAATGCTCTTAAGACAGTGGAGATGGTTGTGGACTTCAGGAAGAATACATCCCCACTCACCCCCATCACCCTGTGCGACTCCCCAGTCAACAATGTGGAGTCCTTCCACTTCTTGGGCACTATTCTTTCCAAGGACCTCAAGTGGGAACTGAACATCAGCTCCCTTACCAAGAGAGCTCAACAGAGGATGTACTTCCTACGGCAGCTGAAGAAATTTAACCTGCCAAAGACAATGATGGTGCGCTTCTATACAGCCATCATTGAGTCCATCCTCACCTCCTCCATCACCATCTGGTACGCTGCTGCCACTGACAATGACAAGAGCAGACTGCAGCGTATCATCCGCACTGCTGAGAAGGTGATTGGCTGCAATCTGCCTACCCTTGAGGACCTTCACACCTCGAGGACCCTGAGGCGAGCGAGGAAGATTGTGGCCGACTCCTCCCACCCTGGACACTCTCTGTTCCAGCTACTCCCCTCCGGCAGAAGGCTGCGGTCCATCAGGACGAAAACCTCACGCCACAAAAACAGTTTCTTCCCATCCACTGCTGGCCTCTTCAACAAGGCCAAGGGCTCACACTTACTTTAACACTTTATCTGCACAATGACACCTTGCCATATTTGCACTATGTTACCCTATTTGTATTTTTCTATTGTATAGTATAGCTATTTAAAAATTTATTTTATTCTAAATGTTTACATACTTTATCCCCTTAGTATTAGTTAGACGTTGTACCTTTAGTATAGTTAGACTTGTACACCACTTATTTAAGATTTAAGATTTCTATATGTTGAATGTATGCACCTTCCTGCCAAAGGTAATTCCTTGTCTGTGCGAACTTTCATGGCGAATAAAACCCTTTGATTCTGATTCTGGAAACAACAACAATCTCGTGGAGTCGAGCGGCAGGGAGCAACGAGTTTATTAGCAAAGTTCTCCTGCCAGTTTAGTTGAGATGAGGTGAGTTGAAGTGAGTTTAGGTGAGTTGAGGTGAGGTGAGTTGAGGTGAGATGAGGTGAGTTGAGGTGAGGTGAGTTACGATGGGGTGAGTAGAGGTGAGGGTGAGTAGAGGTGAGGATGAGTATTTGAGACGAGGTGATCCGAGTCTTCTTTTTTAAGCCACCCCTGGAGCGGAGACGTCTGTACTCGCTCACACGTCAACACATTCCAGGGCGCGCCTCGTAATACGCAACTCAAACTGAAAGACTTCCTGCTTCCTTGTTGCCCATTTACGTGGCTTGTTCCTCGTTTAGCGTCTCAGACGCAGCCAGCGACAGCCTGAGAAACAGACAGCGACTGCCTGAGCTACAGAGACTGCCTGAGATACAGAGAGAGACTGACTGAGATACAACCAGAGACTGACTGAGTTAGTCAGAGACTGCCTGAGCTACAGACAGAGACTGCCTGAGCTACAGCCAGAGACTGTCTGAGCTACAGCCAGAGACTGCCTGAGCTACAGACAGAGACTGCCTGAGCTACAGACAGAGACTGCCTGAGTTACAGACAGAGACTGCCTGAGCTACAGCCAGAGACTGCCTGAGCTACAGACAGAGACTGCCTGAGCTACAGACAGAGACTGTCTGAGCTACAGACAGAGACTGTCTGAGCTACAGACAGAGACTGCCTGAGCTACAAACAGAGACTGTCTGAGCTACAGCCAGAGACTGTCTGAGCTACAGACAGAGACTGTCTGAGCTACAGCCAGAGACTGTCTGAGCTACAGACAGAGACTGCCTGAGTTACAGACAGAGACTGTCTGAGCTACAGCCAGAGACTGCCTGAGCTACAGACAGAGACTGCCTGAGTTACAGACAGAGACTGCCTGAGCTACATCCAGAGACTGTCTGAGCTACAGCCAGAGACTGTCTGAGCTACAGACAGAGACTGCCTGAGCTACATCCAGAGACTGTCTGAGCTACAGCCAGAGACTGTCTGAGCTACAGACAGAGACTGCCTGAGCTACAGCCAGAGACTGCCTGAGCTACAGACAGAGACTGTCTGAGCTACAGCCAGAGACTGTCTGAGCTACAGACAGAGACTGCCTGAGCTACAGCCAGAGACTGTCTGAGCTACAGCCAGAGACTGTCTGAGCTACAGCCAGAGACTGTCTGAGCTACAGCCAGAGACTGTCTGAGCTACAGCCAGAGACTGCCTGAGCTACAGCCAGAGACTGTCTGAGCTACAGCCAGAGACTGTCTGAGCTACAGCCAGAGACTGTCTGAGCTACAGCCAGAGACTGCCTGAGCTACAGCCAGAGACTGTCTGAGCTACAGCCAGAGACTGTCTGAGCTACAGACAGAGACTGCCTGAGCTACAGCCAGAGACTGCCTGAGCTACAGACAGAGACTGACTGAGTTAGTCAGAGACTGCCTGAGCTACAGCCAGAGACTGCCTGAGTTAGTCAGAGACTGTCTGAGCTACAGCCAGAGACTGCCTGAGTTAGTCAGAGACTGCCTGAGCTACAGACAGAGACTGCCTGAGCTACAGCCAGAGACTGCCTGAGCTACAGCCAGAGACTGCCTCAGCTATAGCCAGAGACTGCCTCAGCTACAGCCAGCGCCTGTCTCTGAGTGAAGCCACGGGGCCATGGCGAGTGCGGCTCCCAGTGGTAGCGAAGCTCCAGGGGAGTTGACCTGCCCCATCTGCCTGGACGCCTTCCGCTGCCCCTGCACGCTCAGCTGCGGTCACTCGTTCTGCCTCGAGTGCGTGGAGGGCGCCTGGGATGCGGCCGAGTGCTTCTCCTGCCCGCAGTGCCGAGTGACCTTCCCTCGGAGGCCCAAGCTGAACAAGAACTTCACGCTCGCCAACCTGGTGGAGCAGCGCAGTGCCGCAGATGAATTGGCCACCGTGGTCTTGTGTGACTTCTGCAACGATGGCACGACTGCTGCCTCGAAGACCTGCCTCAGGTGTGATATGTCGTACTGTGCGACTCACGTAAAGCCTCATCAGGAAAACCTGAAGTTCAGGGACCACATTCTGGTGGATCCAGGCACGAATCTGGAAGACCGCAAGTGCAAGACGCACAGAAAGGAGCTGGAGTTTTGCTGCCGACAGGACAAGAGCTTGGTCTGCACAACCTGCATCATCGCAGGAGACCACAAGGGTCACGATCTGGCTACGCTGGAGGATGAGCACAAGACACGGGAGGTGAGACGGTCTGTGTGTGTGAGCCGAATCGTCTCCTGAGTGAAGTTATAATTTACAAATATGACTTGATACAACTGAAAAACTTTCATGTGTACAATGTTTTCTCAAAATTACGTGAGTGCATAGACTGTGGTTTGTATACAAAATGTCGTCTGTGGTAGAGAGAAGCATTCACTAAAATATAAACGAAATGTACAACGACTGGAACTGCGTGAGCTGCAGTGCTCACCGCTTGGTAGCCTCGTGCCGGTCTGTCCCAGTTTAGTGCCGCACCCTACAACAGCTACCGGGTCACTGGACGTGGCGTTCCAGAAATGTCACGTGATTTTGACAGACCAAGTATTTTCTGACCGTATTTATATTTTCATCAAGATGCTCTCTACGGAATTTCTCGGACACTCAGCGACATTGCAGACCCTCCTTGTACCATGAAAAACTAAAATAAAACTACTTTATATTTTTCCAAGTGAAGCCCACTGAGCTATGAAGCTCTTTTTCAGAGGCAACCTGGCCAAAAATGACAGCTCAACGAAGTGGCTTATCAAGTCTAAATGTATGGCAGCCAAACACTCTAAACGCACCTTCCTAAACGTGGACACAAAAACGGAGGACCCAGAGAAAAATCCATGCGACCATAGAGAGCGACATGCAAACTGCATATATACAGGCATCAGGCACGGGTTCGAAACCACGACCTCCTGTATAACAGGCAAGACAGATAACATCTGATGACTCCGGTGCCCTGTCCACCCACTACTCAGATAACCCCGCCCACTACTCCAGTAGTCCCGCCCACTGTTCAGGTAGCCAAATCCATTAAGCAGGTCGCCTCACCCACCTCATTTGTAGCACCAACCACTACTCAGGTAGCCCCACCCACTACTCAGGTAGCCCCACCCACTGCTCAGGTCGCTCCACTCACTGCTCAGACAGCCCTACCCACTATTTAGGAAGCCCTGCGCACGTTTGAGTGCCTCGTGAAGTTAGTTCCCTGCAGCGCTTGCTCCCCCAGCCTCCATTGCTGCACCGGGGCTACTGCCCACGTCACTGTGGAGGGGTTTACGTGGAGCGGGATGAGAGGGGATGCTCAGAGAGTGAGTGGAGTCTCCCCTGGTGACGTCTCTCACAGAAACAAGTGGGAGATGAGACGCGGGCTGTGGAGGAGAAGAGGAGGGAGGCGGAGGAGTCCGTGAGGCGGATGGAGGCCGCTCGCAGGGACGTGCAGGTACCGTGTCTGGGCCAGACTCTGTGACCCCGTGACTCCACCCTGAGTAGGGTTTGTGATGGAGGACAACTCCATTCATTCACGTGGACTTCCATTGGCTCTAAACACGTTGTGGGACTAAACACACAACGGTTAATGAGCCTCAATAATCAGGACGCGCAAAGAGGTGGTTATCATCTCCACTGAGAAACTAAATCAGTGGTGGAAATTCCACATTCCCATATCTCCATACAACTTAACACTTCAACGAATGTTAACTATATTTGGCCAGATAAGGTGTATCACACACAGACTGTACACCATCTTACTGAAACCAATCAGGCTTTAGGGTGGCCAGGTGGCAGTATAGCAAGTTGTTTCATGATCCCCTCTCTTCATCCATACACATGTGGCATTCTCTCACAATCAAAACATTCATTTAAAGAGGAATTGGCCTAACTTCCCATATCATTAATGCTCTACTTGTTGAAGGCAAATTACAGAAGGTAAACAAAGCATCGTCCTGATATCCTTGCACAATGGGAATGACACAGACGCTAAATGTACTCATGATGGTATTTGATGATTTCATTGCCTCACAGCCCCCACCAGTTATGGCGAGTCGTGTTGTAGTGAAAATGCACAGTGGCGTGATCAGAGGCAGAGGAAGAAGGAGGCCTCAATGCTGCAGACTCGTATCACTGCCTGGACACCTTAGAGTTGCACTCGAGTCAAACCGACCTGAATGTCATTTCATAAATGACCAGAGCTGGCATTTATTTCTCTTTGCAGGGATCCATGACAGATGAAAAGGCCTCAATCTCGGTCAGATTCACCCGCGCGAGAGCAGCGTTGGAAGCGGAGGAGAAGGCGGCTTTAGAGCAAGCGGAGCAGAAAGGGCACAAGCTGCTGTCCCTGATCGAGAAGAAGATCGCTCACTGCCAGCACGAGATCAGCGAGCTCCAGGCAGCAGCCACTCGCCTGCAGGCCCTAGCGAAGGAGAGGGACTCGCTCACATTCCTGCAGGTGAGCGATGAGTCTCCAGTGTCGCTATTGGCACAGAGCCCTCTCACCAGCAGCAGGAGAGGGAGGCTCCTGAATGAGAGCTCGCATCCACTGGGCTTGAGAACACAGCTCCACTCATGGACTCATATCGCAGCTCCAGTGGCTGCCATTTGGAAGGCCAGCTCATATTTTCTCAGTTACATGAATTCTCTCTCCCGTTCTTCACAGGTTCCCATTAAGTTTGTTTAATTTTGATTATAAACTAAATGTTATTGGAATTGCACTTTTTAAATGAACCCTACAACAACAGCAACAACAATGTACACGGTATCCATGATTATCATCAGCCCTGATCTATTCACTTGTAGTGACATATGGGATGTCACTGTATCGTGCCGGCCTGAGAGGGCCACGGCACGCGTTGCACTGCCACCGCGTACACCCATAGGCGGGTGTAGTACCAGCCCTATTGGGGCTTTGCCTGTGATGGGATACCGTGGGTACCACGCATAGCGTGTAATGCGGGCTCCCACAGGGGGGAGTAGGAGAGTATCAGCCCAGGGGCAAGGTTGCCCCGAAGCATGTAACTCTGGTTGATCACGCAGACACGTGATCTGGAGTGTTCATAGAGAGCCCCCCAGGTGGGGGAACTAGGGGGTGATCACGTGTCCAGGGAGAGTTCTCGAGAGGGATCGAGAGGGAGCTAGAAGGCTCCAGAAGGTGGGTGGTGCCGAGGGCGGAGCAGCCCCAACGCGTGGAGGGATATAAGGCGTGTCCCTGAGAGGGACTGGAGTTGCTGCATTCTACAAGCTGAAGCTCTACGTCCTATAAGCTGAAAGCTCTACAGGCATCAACACGTGGCCGGGACCCGAGTGAGGGTCATACCCTTCTTAGCTGTAACTCCTCCGTATAGGGTAGTTAGCTGGGTGGCCACTACCCTAGGCTGTATCTGGTGAAGGGGCAGTTACCCCTTTGTGTTACGTGTTGATGTTACAATAAATGTGTTGCCTCTAAAGAACGTCTGCGACTCAGTTGGACTCACTACACACTTATTAAGGCCTCCCCAGGCCATTGCCACATTTCATGATGCCGCGATGCAACAATCCACCAGCGCCTGCTCACGACCCGATATGATCTCTGCTTTCTTACTTTGTGTACCTCCACTGGGATGTGCTACCTTCATTGTTTATATTAGGGATGCTAAAATAAATACGTCTCATACACTTATTACTGATATCATTATGTCTTGAACATCACTTTTACAAGACCTGCACCATGCACATTTGAAACACCAAAAAATACAATTCCTAAGTTACTCTCAACACAGATCAATATCAACCGGTCTCACTCTAAAATATTTGCCCTGCAAATGAGTGTTGGTCCTCATGGGGGTGGCGAGATGTTAACTACCTCGCCTGGTATGCCGGAGGTTGTGGATTTAATCCCAATCCTGATGTCCCTATACATTTGGAGTTTGCATATCTCCCTCCATGGTCACATGGATTTTATCTGGATCCTTCAGTTTTCCCCTCCACATTTGTAAACGTGCGTTTAGAGTATTGGGCTGCTAGAAATTTCCACAAGATGAACCACTTCGTTGAGCGATCATTTGTGGCCAGGTCGCTACTGAAAAAGAGCTACATAGCTCCGTGGGCCTTACCTGGAAGAATAAAAATAGTAGTTTATCGTTGACTATCAAGCGGTCTCACTCTGAAACATTTTCCCCGTAAGTCAGTATTGTGATCATAGGGTCATAAGCCACGACTCTGGGGTTTATATTCAACTGTGTTGCAGTGGAAACTTCACTGATCACAAGGGATTGGAGGTAGAATCACAGTAACGCATCTCTCTCTCTCCCACAGGGGCACCTGGAGGAGACGCGCAGGTAAAAGACGACTATCATTCACGACTCGACACATGACAACATGGGGCTGAGTGTGGGGCGCAGACAGTGAGACACTGGCTGTGTGTGGGGATGCTGTGTGTGGTGATGCTGTGTGTGGGGATGCTATGTGTGGTGACGCTGTGTGTGATGATGCTATGTGTGGTAATAGTAATGCTGTGTGGTGATGCTGTGTGGTGATGATGCTGTGTGTGGTAATAGTAATTATGTGTGATGCTGTAATTGTGAGATGAGTGATGACGCTTTGTTTGATGAGTGCCTGTGTGATGGAGCTGTGACGATCCCACAAGTGAAGAGTGTCTGTGATGGAGCTGTGAGTAACGATGCTCTATGTGACACAGTGGCCATGTCTGTTCTGCTTTCACAGGACAGGGAGGGTTACAGCAGCTCCACCCTCAGCTCCCAGCCAAGAGGACATTGCCTCGCTTAAAGTCCTGGAGACAACTGCAGTCAAACTCCTGTGTGAGTTCTTCAGTGTGAATCATGGGTGATGGGGCCATCTTGACAATAAATGATCCCCGTGTGTGTGCACGAGGTCGACTTAGCCTCAAATAATTACCTGGAGTTTTATAAACATCACCACTAGGGAGACAGGTGGTCGGGCGTGGTGCTGGCCACCCACCTCGTGTGCCATGTCGGCCTTCATAGACGCTCACGGACAGCACTTGTCCCAATAGTCTGTGAAGGCTACACAGGGGATCTTAGTCTTTGTTCAAATCCCATTTCAGGACCCAACTGAAGAGCCATGAGAGATGTTGAGATGGAGTGTGTGCCTGTGAATGTGTATGCATTTTTGCATTGGGGGAGCGGTGGCATAGTGGTTAGCACACTGCACTACGAACCCAGTTACCTGGGTTTGATTACCCGCCATGGATAACATCAGTGGCAGGTGATATCTGATCCAGTCCTGGGTCTCTGCTAGACTGTTTCAACCTCAAATTAGTTCCTGATGCTAGTAATGGTCATAATGATGGTGATAGTGGTCGTTATAAGGATGGTGGTAATGATGCTGATGTTAATGATAATGTGAGTCATGGGAATGGTAATGGGTTTGGTGATAGTGTTGGTCGTGGTGATGGCAGTGATGGTCGTGGTGATGGTAATGATGGTGACATTGGTGATAATATATGTGATGGTTTTGCTGATGGCCCTGATGGTAGTAGTGATATTGGTGATGGTGGTCATGGTATTGATAGTGGTGATGATGGTTTTGATGGACGTGGTAATGGTTATAATGATGCTGGTCGTGTTGGCGATGTTGGTGATAGTGATGAAGATGGTGGTGATGGGGGTAGTTGTGATGGTAGTGATGGTGGTGGTGATTGTTTGTGATGGTGCTAGCTGTGGTGATGATGGTTGTGATGTTGCTTATAGTGTTGTTGACGTTCATAGTGTTAATGATGGTGGTGATGGTGATGTTTATGTTGTCATTGATATTGATGGTGAGGATGCTTGATTATGGTGATGTTTGTGATGTTATTATTGATGGTGAAGATGATGGTTGGTGATGGTAATGTTGATGGTGGTGATGGTGGATGATGGTGATGATGGTGTTCTGTAGTGATGTTGCGATCGCTGTTGTCACAGACGGACGCTCACCGACTCTGGACACAAACTCAGCTCATAACAAACTGCAGATCTCCTCGGATCTCAGGACGATGACGCGGACCCGTGACTCCCAGGGTCGCCCCGATCACCCACACCGGTTTGATTGCTGTGCACAAGCCCTGTGCTGTGAGAGCTTCTCGTCGGGCCACCACTACTGGGAGGTGGACGTGGGGGGCGTGCGGCGGTGGTGTGTTGGAGTCGCATACGGGACAATCCCACGGAAAGGGGGTGGTGCTGCACAGCTGCTGGGAGGGAGCGACGCGTCCTGGTGTTTAGAGAAACGTGGCGACAGCTTCTCAGTGGTTCATGGTGGAGTGGAGACTGCACTGTCGGTGAGGGGGGCCCCCTCCCCCCGCAGAATCGGGCTTCACCTGCACTGGGAGGGGGGGCTCCTGGCGTTTTACCGCGCCGACTCCATGGAGGTGATCCACGAGGTTCGGCAGAGATTCTTGCAGCCTCTCTACCCTGCGATGTGGGTGGATAATTTTAATGAATCATTGAAGATCGTGGATCTGAGTCGTGCATCCTGAGGATGATGAGAGATAGAAATCCAATAAATGGTGGAGATGGGGATGGTGAGGAGAGGGTGAAGTGAGGGTGAGGGGAAGGTGGAACGGAGGGTGAGGTTAGGTTCAAGTTCATGTATTAGGTGTAGCCCTGTGAGCCATTCGGCTCTTGAATCGGGTGCAACCGCAACAAAAAAAAAGAAAAAAATTAACCAAAACATCTTAAAGTGAATATGTGACTGAGTGCAAACAGAAATCTGAGAAAAGACAACAAAATATTGCAGAAAAAAATCACCGTACACCAACGCTGTGTGTAAAAATCCCAGTGGGATGCAAGTCAAACAACCAACAACAACCACAAGACAACTTAGATTAAGGCCGTCAGTCTAACTCTGTACTACAACAAACAAACGTGGCTAACCCAATATACTTTTCGAAATCACCAAAATAAAGCCATGAAAGCAATGAAACAGTGATCATAGGAACTGACGGAATTTTCACAATAAATGACATAAACAACATGTAACCCAATAAACGGTGGAGAAGCGGGATGGTGAGGAGAGGGCGAAGTGAGGGTGAGGGGAAGGTGGAACGGAGGGTGAGATTAGGTGAGGGTGAGGGGAGGGTGAGGTGAAAATTGAGGGAAGGGAGAGGTGAGCATGGAGGGGTAGGGTGAGGGGGGAGGGTGAGGTTCAGGTTGGCGGACATGAGAGATGTCGCCGGTGCAGAACAAATCGCAGGTTCGTGTGTCCGCTCCTTGGCCTGCAGTGCGAGCTCACCTCACCACGCCTCCTCATCCCTGCGATTCACCATCAGCACCATCGTCACCATCACCAACATCATCATCACCCCATCATCATCACTATCAACAACAACAACCGCCATTCGCCACTAAGTGGCGGTGACGTCAGCACGACGTTTGTGCCAGGCCGTGTGCACCTTGAGGCCACGTGAAGTGTCGAACGCTCGCTGGCAGGTCACGGCGCAGACCCAGATGCCACGGGTCGACTGACTGAGACGACTGGCTGATGCACCACCTGTGCCCCCTACTGTGCCAACTTGCTGTGCTTTAGCCACGCGGCGCTCCGCTTGTTGTTGTGAGCGTCGCTCCTCTGCCCTCCGTTGTTGTTGGAGGGTGACTGCCTCCAACTGCCCAGTAGCGTCCTTCACGAGCCTCCTCCACAGAGGCCGATCTTGACACCGCTGGTACCAGTCATCGGCAAGTCCACTCAGCTCCACGTCCTCCTGTACCACATCACTCCATCTCTTCTCTAGCCCGTGCCACGCCCGTTTAGCCCCCTCGATCCGGCCGAACAAAAGCTGTTTAGGCATGCGGTGGCTGGGCAGGCGGTCTACATGGCCCAGCCAACGCAGCCTTGCCTGCCGGAGGAGCTCACTGATGGGACTTTGACCAGATCTTTCAAGGATTTGTGAGCTCCTCACACAATCCAGCCTGGTTAAACCCAGGATGAATCGTAGGCAGGCCAGCCTAAATGTTTCCAACCGGCGAAGATGCGCCATTAGGGGGGTCCACGTTTCGCAAGCGTAGAGAAGGAAGGGAATGATTGTGGCCGAGAAGACCTGAAGCTTCGTGCGGAGCGAGAGACGCCACCTTCGTTGGTCGTAATATGCATCATGAGGGAAATGTGAGCATGAGGAAGACGACGTTTTTGCCACCCAATGGTGTGTAATGTACTGCTTGTCTATGAAAAGATGCCGCATCTCATGATGCGTATGACGACAAAAAATACGCAGACTACCTACTGGATCTCTTCTCTGTTTTAAAGAACAAATTTGACCTAAAGTGTTCGCTCATTTACCAGCTGCACATTCCCTATTGCCGAAAAATACTGGAGCAAGGGCCTTTGCTATTAAAGCCCCCAGGGTCTGGAATGTTATTTCCAATAAACTGCAACTTGAATCACAACCTATAAGATATTCACTCAAAACTGATCTAGAGGAGTTGTACAACCCTAGCTGCCACTGCTATTCAGTGGCCTGAAATCAAATGTATCGCTCTGGATGACCGCTGCAAAGTAAGATCTTGTGTTTTGATTATAGTGTGCTAATCTTTAAAGGTACATTGAACATTTTTGATATTCCTACCGATACTCCTGCTGTTATGCAGTGACTCATGCAGCCAGCTATGGTTGCAAAGTTTGCTCGTACATGTTATGTGTATCGTTTATTGTTAAATTGGAATCACAGTTCCTATGATCACTGTTACATTGTTTTTGTAGCTTTATTTTGGTGATTTCGAAAAGGTTCTGGTTTAGCCATATTTGTTTGTTGTAGTATAGAGTTAGACTGATAATATAAATTATCTTATGGTTGTTATTGTTTGACTTGCATCCCACTGGGATTTTTGCACACAGCATTGATATGCGGTGCCTTATCTGGAAGACTTTGCTGTTTTTTCCTGGATTTTTCTATTGCACGTAGTCTCTTTAAGATGTTTCATGTTCATGTTTTTGTTTGTTGCGGTTGCACCCGATTCAAGAGCCGAATGGCTCACAGGGCTATACCTAATACATGAACTGAACTGAACTTAGCTCCCACACAGCGTTACGCAACCAATGAAAAGATAATGCCGCTTGACTGATTCGGAGTGAGACCTCTGCTGTTAAACCGGAGCCGGTCATGAGCACACTGCCCAGGTATAGGAAACTCTACACTCTCTCCACAACTGCCCCATAACCAATTGAGAGTTGTGGGGGTGGAGTGTCCGATGGTACAAAATGCCCAGGCAGGTGCTTAGTTTTGGTGGGGCTGATGGTAAGGCCCCAACTCCCGGTGGAATGTTCCAGGTTCAGCAGCAGCGTATCCAACTCCTCCTCTGAGTGAGCAGCATTCACCAGATCATCGGCATACGTAACATGGTTGAGTAATAGGGAGTCATCCCTTGACTGCACCCGGGCATCGATCAGCCTCCCATTATATCTGGACCAGATGGAAATTCCTCCGGTACAGCTATTGAAGGCTTCACGAACTACGTGGTCAAAATAAATGTTAAATAATGTGGGAGCAAGAGGACATCCCTGTCGCATCCCAAGGTGTACAGGAAATGGCTCTGACTCCTGGCCACGTAGTTTTCCCGGGCCCGCTCACCATCAGGAAGGTCCTTAATGATCATGAGCAGAGGGTCAGATACTCCAAAAGCACAAAGAACAACCCAGAGCCCAGGCCTACTGATGGTATCATAGGCCTTGACCAGGTCAATAAAGCATAGTTGTAGGTCTTGTTGGAATTCCCTACACCTCTGCTGTAGCAGACGGACAGAAAATATGGCATGTGCAGGACCGCCCTTTCCTGACACGGCATTGGGGCTCCACAAACCTCTCCTGCCTAGAAAGCCGCGTGCCTAGCAAGGCGATTTTGAATAATCCTTGCCAGGACCTTTCCCGGCACACTAAGTAGTGAGATGCCCCTGTAGTTGTTACAGTCTGTGCGGTCCCCCTTCTTAAAGAGGGGGACCACCAGGGTATCCTTCCAATCCTGCGGAACCCGTCCAGTGTTCCAGACTATTGTTATGTCATGTAGGGCAGTCTGTGCACAAACGCCACCCTCCATCAGCATTTCGGTTGGGAGATCATCTCTGCCCGGTGCCTTTCCTGGTCTCAGACTCTGGATCGCCTTCAGTACTTCTGTAATATGAGAATATATCTGGCTCACTGACGTATCACAACTTGTCATGGTGATTGGATCTGCCGGTCCTGGTTTACAGCCAATGGGGGGAAGCCTGGGGGCATGGCCCTGACGTGATGGAAGGGTGACAGCTATGCAGATTGGTTCTGCTGGCTTTGGCCTCAGCCAATGGGGAGATGAGTCAGGGGCGCGGTCCCGGGAGCTGACGAGGGAGCCTGGAAGATTCGATGCAGGCTAACGAGGATTGGCGGAAGCGTACCACGTGACCCGGGTATTAAATAGGGGTAGAGAGAAACGACACGTGGTCAGAACGGGAACAGAACGGAGGAAGGGGGCCACGCGGGAGCGGGGCTCCGAGTTGCCACGTGGCAGTGCGCCTCTCTCTATCTGTCCCTCTCACGCTGCCTATCAGCAGCGTGAAGTAACTGTAACCTGAAGTGAATAAAAGACGGATTCCAGAAGTCGTCTCAAAGAGGTTTATTACACTTCCACAACAGATGGCACCTCAGCAGGCCACTCGAGCTCCTACCGCCGGCCTGACACCGTCGTCGTCGGAGTAGAGGAAGCGATCCGGCGCCTCCTGGCTCCTTTCTACCATAGGGAGGTGTCAGAGGCAGCCTCCTTGTGCTCCATTGCCCCTTCCCTGCTCCCCACCGGGTGTCCAAGCTGGAAACGTGGCCGGTTTCTGGGTACCGCTCTCGTTCCCTGCTGGCTGGAGTTCAAGAGCGGAGAGCCCTGGGGTCTTCCTCCATTCACCCTCTAGTCCCTGGTGGTGATTGACACTTTGTTGGCTGCAGGTGTTTCAAAATTTCAATCACCCGCTTTCCCTATGCAGGTGTATTTTCTTTAGCCACGTATTTGTACCCTGTGACACAATACACTACACTACTATACTCTACACTATACAATACACAATACACTACTATAGACTACTATACACTACACTATACACTACACTATACACTACACTATACACTATTATACACTACTATACACTACACTATACACTACTGTACACTACACTATACACTACACTATACACTACTATATACACTACACACTACACTATACACTACTATACACTACACTATACACTACTATACACTACACTATACACTACACTATACACTACACTATATACTACACTATACACTACACTATAAACTACTATACACTACACTATACACTATACTACACACTACACTATACACTGCTCTATTGTTGTATGTGTTCGGTTATGAAATTTTGATAAAAATAATAAAAATTATTAATTTTCCAAAAAATGTGCAAATCGCATTAATTATGTTAATGTGTGTATAAATATGCATAAAGTATGATGAGTGCAATTATATGCATAAATTATGATAATCACGGAGATAATCGTAGTAATTTATGCGGATGCTTGGGATTATGTTAATGTGAACAGTTATGATAATTAAGTTTAGTTTCGTTTATCCAGAGTTATATCAATCAGGATAAAACGATTATCATTGATTAAACATTTACCGATTATCTTAGTGTGTGTTATGTTATTTTAGGTCTCCAGTTTCATATCTCATCACAGGCTACAGTTCTTGGGAATAAGACAGTTTTGCATGGACTTGGAAAGAAGCACTCGAGACTTGGTGTTAAGCAATTTTAATTCTAAACAAACACATGACACTCTAGTATGCAAAAGCAAGTATACGTCAATAAATTCATGGGCAAGATTACGCAATTAACGAAAATGAATGACTCAAACATTCCTTATTCATGTAACTCGACGGCAGCAACTGCTTTGCACGATCAGTTGATATTGAACGCACCACCTTGAAATGGCAACCCTTTTTGAAACGCAAGGATAACTTTTTGAAAATCTTATTCGTGTGTGTGTTGTGTGTGCGTTGTCCCCTCGTAATCTATATATATAAAATCGTTCATGTCTGTCTGTCTGTGT